GTAGGAAGAAGACTAATGGGACGGTAATTAGATGAATCAGATCGCTCTCCAGAATTTTTAAAAATAGGGATAACAGATGCTGCTTTCCAGCAGGCTAGAAAAGAAGACTCTGATAAGCACTTGTTAAACAGTTTTGAAAGGATATACGACAGCTCCGGAGAACACTTCTGCAAGACTATAACAGGTATGATATCCGGGCCGCAAGCTGTCGAAGAGTCTAAGCGAGAAATCACTTTAGATACAGAAGCTGGAGTGATACGAATGTTGAGCAATGGATCAACCTGTTTGATGGCTATATCAGGTAGAACGCAACTAGTGGCATCAAGAGATGATATTGATGAAAAGTTCTTGGCAAACAATTCAGCTTTGTCTTTAGGTGAGGTGACAAAGTCTGAACCATACAAAAGAGGTGGAATTACAGACTTGCCCTTATTATTGATACTATTAAAGATTCTCTAGAAGTTATGAGAGCCTAATTTTTGTGATGAAATACGAGATTTCATGATCTGAGAATAGCGGGCTTTGGCGTTAGACAAAATCTTTTTACAATGGTTCCTAGCAGTAATAAACAGACGTCTGTTTTCTGGAGAATTGTTTTGCTAATAGATATGGAAGTAATGGTTTGATTAGCAATTGCAGCAGCACAATTAAGGAAAACCATGGAGAAGAGTGAGGCTTGACCTGGAATCGTCGAGAGGGAATAAAGGATTCCATGCCAGCCTGAATCCACGAAGTTATGTAAGAAGCACATTTGTCAACAGGGAGACGAAAGATTTCTACCCAGGGGCCATCACGAAGAAAATCACGGAAAGAGTCCCAGTCAGCTTTAAGGTAGTTGTAAGATGTACGATGATAGGGGGATTCTGATGGTAAAGAAGAATGAGATAATAGTTTTAGAGAGACCAAACCATGATCAGAAGCACCTAAGGGTGAGTGTGAAGAAACTGAGCACTGACTAGGATCAGAAACAAGACATAAGTCGAGTAGAGAAGGTAAATGATTCGGGTTGTCTGGAAAGCGAGTTGGAAAGTTGACTATTTGAGTTAGGGATTGAGAAAGACAAAAGTTATGGGCCTTAATGCCTGCAGAGTCACTGACACTAGAGCCAAGCCATTCAGTGTGATGAACATTAAAGTCACCGACAACAACAATATTGACTGATGGATAAAGAATGAGGGCTTGGTCAATATAATCAGAAATAACATCTAGAAGAGTGCAGTCTTGAGATGAGGGAGAGCGATATAGAACATAAAAGAGTAGTCTGTGGATTCAAACCTAGTTTCCCGACAAATCAGTGAATTCTTACGAATGTAAATGCCCAGGCCAAGCATGTGACTATTGGAGTCTTTACGAATTAAAGGAAGATAACCATCAACACTAAGATTACAAGATGAGACAGCTGAACTCAAATTAGTCTCACAAAGAGCAAGTAGGTCTGGTGAACTTTGCAAGAGATAAGACTCAACAGAAGAAAAGTTACTTCGAAGACCACAAATATTGGTGAATGATAGGTTTAGTGAACTTGGTGATGACTGTGGTGTTTTGTGTTTTATAGTTTTTGTTACTTTTTTCATTTTTAAATTTTTTAAAGAACTTGACTCAAAACATAGATAGTACTCAGTACACTGCTTTATAGCTCAAGCAATTGCCTCATTTCCACTAATAAACCCTAAGCCGTAACAAAGAGCTCCAATGTGGCCTTGGCAATGCACACCAAAAGTACAAACAGGGACACCATCCCTGCGCAACATGGCACTGTTAGTACTCTGATATTTTTCAGCTGTTGATGGAATCAGCCTCTCTGAGAGCTACCACAGAGCTCGGGAAATCTGACTACCATCCTGGCCTCAGAACCATAAAACTGAGTTTTAGAGCTGTACCCTTATTTGGAGATAATAGAATGAGTTGCCTAGTCATAAAAACAGAGAAACATGCAAAACCTATGAATCGAGTCAAGAAGATCCAGCGTTCAACATCCTAAACTGGAAACAATGTATTAAAAATACATCTGCACCAGCCTAAAAGATGAAGAAGGGGTGCGAGGCTGGTCAACAGATAGAATCTGTTTACCCCTTAAGTCTTTGCCTAGGAGGCCTTCTACAAGACAGCAGCTGGATGCATGTAACATCTGCCCAAGATAAGTAGCCTTTACTCAAGCCTTTACTCAACCAAGAGCCCCAAGACAGGGGGTGTTTTCTGTCGGAGTTTGCATCTCCTAGCCTTTACCTAAAAAGGCATATCCTACAAGGCAGCAGGACATGAAGTAGATTGTACTTGGTTACATGTTACCAGTAGCAGGATAAACCTGACCTGACATTAATTAACATTTTTCTGACATCATATGATATATTTGATATAAAAATAATAACTACAGATATATAAACAATGAAATATATAAACAAAGGCTCGAAAAGTATAAGTATGGATATATTTATGTAATCAATAGCAGGCCTTGCGATAAAGCGTTGGGCGATGTGAATTTTACGTCGTCCAAGAGCGA